CAATCGCGCAGATGTTGCTGGTGGGGCAGAGGCGCGGATGACAGCGGCGGCGGCAGCTGGGTCAACTGCCAGAAAGTGCATGTCGTCGCCCGGTCGCCTGCCGTGCCTAGGCAGAGCATGCATTCTCTGCCCCTCCCTCCGTACGCTCGCACAGTCTCCGTGGCCTAATGTGTGATGCCAGAGAACATACAGTCGGTCACAACCGCTTCGGATCAAATTAATGCAACCAGGTTGTACTCCTGCAGCTGGGGCTCAGCTGACACCTGCTGCTTCCTTTTAATTAGAGCACAAACAGCTGTATTAAGAGGGTGAAGGCCAGAGTGCTCATTCACTACCATGTGATTGAGCGAATGGAGAAAAGTTGTGCAACAAGATAAAGGCGACGGTTGCATTTAGTGTGTTTAAATCTTTGTTTTCCTGCCAGTGCGAAGCTGATCCTCCATCAACGTCTAGATTCGGGAATTTTGCCTTTTGTTTTCCTGAGATTGCTTTTTCGCTTCAGCAACGACTTGTGGAAAGTGAAAAACATTACGGGAGATATTTATACTCGTACCAATTCAGTGTGTCAGGGAAAAAAATGAATGTTTAAAAAAAACAAAAAACTGCATAGCATCTAGTATCAAAATGTTGACAAATCATCTTTTGTGAAGTCAATAAAAAAGTTTTTTTTTTTAGTCAATAACCCGAAATATTTGAAAACTATGTCTAAGCCAGGGGTGTCAAACCCATCTTGGTTCAGTGGGCCGGACCAGTACATCATAATCTAATTAACTATGAATAACAATAAATCCATGTTTTCCCTTTTGTTTTCATGCAAAGAAGTGTATTCGATATTTATTATTATTCATTCATATTTAATGAAATATATTTTTACCAAAAATATCCTGAACATGAACTGTTTGTGTACTTTTAATTTTTGGGCCAATTTTGGCCCGCGGGCCTTATGTTTGACACCCCTGATTTAGAAATACACCCCTGATTTTCAGAAATACATATACACCGAAAACGTTTTTATGAGGGACAGAAGACGTATGTAGCCAGGAGTGAGTTCTATCAATAACACTGAGCTCTGTAATGGTTTGGGGCTAAATTTCAGACTGCTCTGACCTGGTCGAAACCGAACGTCCCATGACAATGACCTGAAAGCTCACTGCAAATACTATAAAAAAATACTACACATAAGTTTAGGAAAATCTATGTTCACAAAGCTCAGATCTCAGTATCATGAGGCCAGTACACAGTACTAAGTACACACACATACACATGTACATCGTGGACCCTGTAAAATCCAAATAAATCATGGTTCACAGTGCAGTCGGATAAGATGAATTTTACGCTTTTTTCTGCAGGAATTCCATTCCTCTCCGCTCCCTTAGCAAACCCAGGGTCTGTCATTCTCAGCAGTGCCAAAGTCAGTTGGACAGAAGTAGTGGTATTTACCAGCAGAGAGCAGTGTTGTGGCAGCCAGCCCCTCATGTCCACCAACGCTTAATAATTCATTATGCATAGAGCAAACAGAGATGGGCAGGTGTGTGTGTGTGTGTGTGTATTCTTGACAGTGTTTTGACTGTGAATGTATTTCATCTGTTCGGGCTTATGAATGGCATCCACAGTGTTACCCAGAGAGTCTGTGGAAGAGAGATTCAGAGACCTTCAGATCCTCTCTCAGGAAACGATTTGTAGTAATGCACTCAGGGAAAAAAAAAAAAAAAACGCTTTTAATGTGTTCAAGAAAATGCTTAGATGTGTGACGAAAAAAAAATAAGAGATTGAAATTAGACGACAGATGTCGAGGAGTGTTGTTTTCATATCAGGTGGCGTTAGCGATGCTGGCTAACTGATGATATGACAGAGGCTGGGTTGCCAGATGTTCAGAGAGGTGTAGCAAATACGTTACATCACTGTTGATTCTTCCACCTAGTGTTTGACAATGTAACTGTAATGAAATTTTAAGCCCGTGAATAAGACCACACACACTATCCAATCTATGTTGAAATCCACTTAATTCGTAATATTTCTAAACTTCAAACCTCTAAGAAATGCAGTTAAATATTTCAGCTCGGTCACATTTCCTCCAAAACCATCTGTTGTTCCTGTCACAGAGAGTCACTGAAGCACCGTGCAGTAAAAGCATAAAAAGAGCACAACGAAATAAAACAGTCATTTTTTTTGTTTTCGTTCACATTTGTGTGTGTTTGGGCGTAACCCTGTGTGTGTGTGTGTGTGCCTTTAAATAGTTTTGCTAAGTTGTGCGTTGCCTTTGCCGTGGTTTACAAGTTTTCACCCAGCGTCGTCTCGTCTTTAGTCTGGCCCAGGGGCCACGTGTTGACTCTAAAACAGGTTTTATGTCACCAATAACTACTCACAGCCTGCAAGGACAATAAAACAAACTACAACAACACTAAAAAAATAATAGATCCCCAAGATTTGATTTGACCAAGTTTTTTTTTTTGTTTTTTTTTTTTGGTATTTCTTTTTTGGTTTAGTAAGTGGCAAATTGACCTACAGGCTGCTGTAGACCGATGCTTCGCACCGTCGAAGGATTTCGGTGTTTCTATTTCACTTGTTTGTGTTTTTCTTTTTTTCTTTTTTGGCTCCAGATTCATGAAATATTCATGACTAGGTGTTATGGAGACACAAGACAAAACGCATCTGTTTTATCACAAGGCGCTGTTATTTGAGGCCACACGGAGTCGAAAACAATGGGTTGGTTGTTTGAACGTGAATGAAGCAAAAGTGTTGACTAACGTTACGTTAATGGAGTTAACTAAATTTAGTTCATTTTCATTTGAGTCCTAATGTGTTTGCATTATAGATTGAATCTGGTTTAAAACAATACTACACATTTAGTTCATTTTCATTTGAGTCCTTATGTATTTGCATTGAATCTGGTTTAAAACAATACTACACAGTAACACTCCATGATTATATTTATATACATATATATATATATATATTCAGTCTGTTAAAAACAATAAACGATTTTATAAAGCCATTTTTTTGTTAGATATTAATCTTTTGATCTGCCACAATAATTTTCTCAGTAATTTTTAGGTGAGATTAAAAAATAGATTAATTAGATCAAGATCAGCTCTAATATCACCCCCAACAAACAAAACAAAACAAACAAAAAAAAGATAATTATCTGTAAACCTTGTGATGAAACTATTTAAATATATAATTTGAAGTTTCTTTTTTAAAATTTAAGTTAATCAATATTTTTTTTGCAAAACAACGTTATTCTTCAACAATCTACTTTATTTATTTTTGTTTTTGTAAACTGTGTTTATAAAGTGTGTAGTGTCTGACCTTGGGCCACGGTTCCGGCTTCCGTGTTGGTCAGCGATCGCCTCCACTCGTATAAAACGACTTCATTTCCGTGCGCGGGATAAGAAGTAATTCTTCAGGTAGATGCGTGCAGTCATTGTGGGAGAATAAATGTTTGCCTGGAAGAAGAAAGAAACAGGGTAATTTTCATGGCACCTGTGACCCGACGCTGCCTCAGTGTTTAAAGAAGGTAAAGGGGAAAATTTATTGTGGCAGATTTGGGGGAGATGCTCTGCCCCCACCTTCCCTACCCTTCACCCCTGTCTTGAGTTGTGTCCAAATGCGTGCAGAGCAATGTCAAAAAAGTCATTATTTAGACTTTTCTTAATGAAAAAGTAAACATTTGGACGGAGAATTTACATACAGGAAAAAAAAGAATGAAATTCAATATGAAAGAATTGAAATAATGGCAACACCACTGTCACGATCCTACTGTCACGTTCAAGGACAATCTAACAAGGAACAGACAAATAATGGCTTGTCCTTTTCACAAGCACAGCAGGCTTTCACAGGATTACTATTACAAATTTTCTTTTCTTCCTTTTGTGATTGTGATATATTCCCATGTCCTGATACCTAACAGAAAGAAGAAAAAAAAAAGAAAAAAAAGCTGGTAACCTTGGAAACTGCAGTCTTGTTTGAAACGGTTGTAACAGTGGTCCTCGGACTGCGCCGAATACCTAACCTTCGAATGGAAATGGAACGATGCAAACAACTTTTAATTAAATGTTGAGGGAAAAAATAAATATAATTCCTAGTTTCTTTTTGCCGATTTATTCCCTCCAGGCTCCGGTCTGTTAAAAGCACAATTAATAGTAATAATAAAAACAATGATTGGAGTGGAAATTTTGAGAAAGTGCTGCTTTCAATATGCCAACTAATTCATTTTCTCCCCTTGTCTGGTTATGACGACCTGCTCAAGGGCGGATCTGTCATGCTTGGTTTTTGACTCTGACTTTTGAAACACATCTCATAAAAGAAATATCTCTAAAACAACGGTTCTCAACCTTTTTTGGCTTTTTTGACATATACTAATATGTCTCCGGGGTCGCCAGAAATTTCAAATCAAATCGCTGTCCCTTGTGCATCATGTTTCATTGGAACTGGATTAACATTCAGATCACAATTTAAAAAAAGATGATGAATAGTGCTAATAATAATACTTAAAAATATATTATGATACATTTTTATCACTCATTTTTTAATCAATTACTACAAATACCAGGCAACCCCTTTTAAATTTCAAGCGACCCCATTCGGGATGCCGACCCTAAAGTTGGGAACACTGCTTTATAAGTAATATAGTATCAACAACATTAACTTAGGTAGCTCTTTTATTCTCACCTGTCTAATGAATCTGACCAGCAGATTTTGCAGCTACTCTCTTTGCTGCAGAGAAAAGAGGATTTGGTTTATTCAGCATTAATAGGTGACACGCTTGGTGGATTTTGTCCAAAAAACTAAAAAGTTAAAATGTGTGTGTGGGAAGAGCCATTGATTCTTTGTCTGGCCACAGAAAACAGTTCCACTTCTTCCACATTCTCTGCTTCTAAAATGCTGCGAGGACTCCTTTGCTTTGTGGATGTAAGACTTGGCAGATCACTGTCTGCAGGTCAACTTTGGCAGACGCGGCTGGTTTATATCTTAGAAGGTCGGGGATTGAATGGTTGTTTAATGAAAGGAAATCATTCGGTAAGTCACTTCAATATTGAAAAGGATATTTGTAGGTTCATTCATTAATAACAGCAAATTAAGCACGGAAATATTGAAAAGGATATTTGTAGGTGCATTCATTAATAACAGCAAATTAAGCACTTAGCAGCTGGTGCCAATATGTATTTTAAACCCATGTTTTAAATGTTGAGTGCCTTTCAACTCAAGGCTGAAAATTCATGTGAGAGCATTAAATATGATGCAACAACGCTCTAATTTGACATCTCGATCTCCCTCAATGTGGTGAGAAGTGTTTTGATTTAAAGTTAGCAACACAATAGGGACGAGAGAAGCTATTCTTCAGCCTCTGCAACCAACACACATGCCAAAAAAGTAATCCAAGAATTAAAATAACCGAAAAAAACTTTTTGCCAAAGCTGCACAGACTCCCACTGTATAAATAAAATCTCTTATGCTGAGCACTGGTTAAAAAATACAGACCCTGTACCTCTGAATTACAACTAAAATTAAGTGATTCCTTCTCTGAATAACAGTCCACACTGTCAGTAAGTTATATTACCAACACAAAGTCAAAGGGTCCTAAAATCACTTTTAAAAAGTCTATTTAAAAAAAAAAAGGCTTTGCATAAATTGCATTATTTTAAAAAACTTGCACAAACAGACTCATTTTCCAGAGCCTGAACACGAAAAACAACCTTGATTTGGGAAATAATGCCAAATGTCTGTATCTGGTTTTATTATTCACAGCAAGACTAGCATGTCTCATGCTGTCTCAGCAGTGATGGAAAAAGTCAGCTTTAGGAAAACACTTGTTATTGGTGCACCAAAACCTTCAGACATTTGTTTCAACACAATATAAAAAAAAGGTTACTGCGAGTAATCTTTAAAACCCAAAGAAAAAGTTGTTTTTTTTAAAAGAAATATGTCCAGAATTTTTAAGTTCTACTTCTATGAAGATTTATTTTAGCCACTTCAAATATATGGTGTGGGCTCAATAATAAAAATATTTGTCTAAAGTTTTGTGAACAACACTTATAGACAAATGTTTTTATTCAAGGCAAGTCTTACGGAAAAAAAAGAATTTTTTTATTAATAGTAGTAGTAGTAGTTTTACTTTTTTTAAATTTTTTTTTAGGTTGGATTGTATAATTTTTCAAAGCATTTCGAGAGCAAAAGGGTCTAAACGTAAGAAAAAAATACAAAACAATATTCAATAAATTTTTTGCTATGCATAGGTAATGCTGAAGCTGCAAATATTTTGGACTTGTTACCCAGATGTAACACTTTGGCTCAAAGGTACCCCAGGAAACGGCTCAACCTAGGTCACTAAATTTAATTTTGGTCATGTATACAATTTCTTATACATATAAAACCTAACAATTTAGAAATGTCCTTAAACCCTACAGAGGGTCTCCTTAAATAAACTTCCTGAGCACAATATTTGATTGAAATGATCACGACCAAAATGTTGAACTTGAGTCACAAAAACTCAAAAACTTTAAATAATCCAAAATTCGTACAGTTTTGTCTGAGTTTTACTTTGGAAATACAGTATATCAAGTATTTTTAAAAAGCTGTATGGGGATAGATCGTAGCAGCCAGTTACTATCTAACGCTTCTGAATTTCAGGTTAGGCTTGACTAGTTCAGTTCAGTTCAGTTCAGTTCAGTTCAGTTCTGGAGGAGAAGAACAACAATCCAAGCTGTACATGCGGAGAGAAGAAGAATGACCCAGATTGCATATCTTAAAGGCAAAACATCAATCACACCCAGATTCTTTTTTTCTTATCGTGGCGGAGACTGGACTTTTTCTTTGAACTTTGAACAAAAGTAACACAATTAATAAACACGGTGCATTCGAACGGAAATGTGAAGTGTTGTCTGTGTCTGCGCATTGAGCTGTCGGCTGGAAAATTGTCCAGGATGAACTCTGTTTCCTTCTCATTGTCAGCAGGGATTTTCTCCGGCTCTGACTACAAGCCTTAGAGGATAAACAGTGATGGATGGACGGATGGATCATCCTTCTGTATTCTCCCATTACGCACCACGTGTACCCTACATTCCAAGGTCCCGCTTACCACCGCTCCACTTGTACTCGCTGAATATCTCGGCTCGTTGGGGGGGGGGGGGGAAAACCCCCCCCCTCCCTCCGCAACACTGTGTGCCTCGGATTTGATCGGAGCCATTTCAGAGACTCCTCTTCAATTTATAAGCTTTGCATTGTTGTTACACATTTCATTTTTTTTTTCTTCCCAGGGATGCAGTAGAGAAGGCATCATTACTTCCCCACCTATGCGATGGAGACGTTTCCTCCGAGTCTTGGGGTCTCTTCATGCTTTCATTACAACACCCCCATACATCTTCCCTGTATCTTGACGGTGTTTGGGGAGTGCAGCAGCTATCAGGGGAGGTATACAGACATACAACACTGTATCATTCGTGGCAACCTATCAACACCGGCTTCACCTTTTTCAATCTGATACAGAGGAAGAAGTGAGTGTTTGCGGCGAAGGTGCTGATAATACTGTTGCCTCAGAGCAGGGTTTTGCTCAACAAAAGAGACCGCAGAGACCGACTATCCTCGCGGAGACACATGAATCATCAGTGACACGGCTCCTTCCTCCCCCGTAGTGCTGTTGTCATGAATTATCCAACTCTGTGAGGGCCCTGATCAATTAGTCAATCTTTCAAATGCGACCCCTCAATTAACACGGCCATTCCCGATACCACCGGGTCCTAACATGTTGTGCATCACTTGACGCTGCAAATTAAAGCTGCAGTCTCCGCTTCAGCACTCCGAGCTGATACAGATAACCATAAGGAACGATTCATCCATAAGCACTCTGCTGCCCGAGAAACCGAGGACGAGGGTGTGGCAAGCATCTCCCCGAGATTGATGCACCCAGGGACGCTGTTAGAGAATTGATTTTTTTTTTATGAATTCAGCGAGAAGGTGCCAATCACCTGCGTCGGTAGCCAAAACACCACAGCAGGAACAGAATATGAAAAAAGCAAAAGAAGGGGGCGAGAAAGGGGAATTGTGACGGTCCAGTCAGAATACAGATTGGCAGAGGGATCTGTGCAGGCGCTCGGTGCTCCAGAGCAACCGGCCATGAGCCAAAGACCACTCCAATAGACGGCTGCGTGTGTCAGGGGGACCGCGGTGCAGGAAGCTCGCTGTAATTTTAGCAATCTGTTTCATGGCTTGAAGCTGCTGAGGCATGTTTGAAGCACATGCCCCGGCGAGATGTCCTTCATTTCTCTTCTTGGGGGGGGTTACTTGTTGGTGAAGCACCAATCCCTCTCTGCCCCTGACTGCACATGAATGACTTTTACTTTTTTTTTGGAATAACACGAAAGGGCTGTCGAAGTTAGCCACATTCATTAATTTGTGATATTAAACAGATGAAAGATGTTCAACTCTAGCGCATACACAGAATGAAGTA